ATACTTAATTCACGTTCTTCGTCCTTGTAACATGATATATCAAATATGTAAAAGTAAAGAGAATGACAATATTTTTACTAAAAAGAAAGAAATACTGAGATTCGGACGCCATCCAATTTACACAGTGTTTCTGTGTAAATGTGTATATGACACCTGGTTTGGTTGTTCGTGCATCTGTTTCCTCTGGAGGTGGGGACACGCTTTGTAAGAAATGTACAATATTTTATCTATAATGTTGTCTAATTCGGCCAACTATTATAGTGTTATTATAGCCAAGACACTCTGTATGACGGTCGACATCGTATGAATGACTCACTGTCCTTGGTAGGGACACAGTCGTACCGATTCATGCTACAGCCGAGTAGTTCAAAGTATTCAAATAGTTCATTTAATAAATCATGTCATAAATTTGTTTCATACTAAATTACGAGTATTTGTCATGTTGTCTAATTACCTGTACCCGTGCGTGTATTTGTGACATATTTGAGTTCTTCTCAAACATGGCCATCTTAAATCAATGTTAGGCTCTACTACCTACTCACACACAAAAAGAGCGAACAAAAAATGAGATGTATATTCAAGAAATTAAATTAAATAGATTGTGGTGTTTTACACTAAATGTCGAGGACGTTGATTCAATGCACGTTATCTAATCAACACAGAAGAACACACCAGTCTACAAATTTTACTATTGGGTATTGGAAAGGATTCATTCATATAATAAGTATTATCAAAATAATGTAGCTGGAACACAAAATGAAGCGTCTTTCTGTGTCTTTAATGTACAACAGCACATAGAACCGTCCACTACCGGACTCAATCATAGAAGAGGACCATCACACACGTATATGTCTAAGTTACATTAATTAAAAATAGTTTTATGATAAGGGACAGCTCGTTTTAAGTATGGCTCCTTTTCAGTGTGGTGTTGTTGTTTTTCTTTGTGTTCTAATAAACGCGCAGTAAATTTAGTGTCTCTTTATAATTTCCTGAAATTTGTACGTGCCTTTATTATGAGACGAAAACAATTAACATTAAACATTTTGATTTGTATTTATAATTCATACATTTTGTACTTACTTTAAAAAATTAGTTAAATTAACTAAACTTTTAAAAATTAAAGATACTGTAATTAAAGTTTTTAAAGTTGTTAACACGTTTATTCCGCCCTTGTGTGTTTATCAATCACGTGACTAAATATGCGAATTCAATGAATATAATACACATGAGTGAAAACTTGTGAATAGTGTTAAATGATTTAAAATACTGAAATAAAAAATGGTGCACCCACAAAACCTTCATACGTGCTCGTGTCATGAGGTCATATCTCAGGTCAAGAAACTTTTACAGGCCCATAGTTATTAAAACACAGCGCGCCCGTAACACCTTATGCCATTTTTTTATTAATACGCCGTATGCAACTTTAAATTAACTTTTACATTCTCACATTATTCAGGGCAGTATTTATTTATTTGTTTATTTGGCTTTATGTGCGTAGTAATACTGGAGGTTACGTTGATCAGAAAAGGGAACTGAGTCAGCAAAAAAATTGAGATAATGATTAGTTAATGGAAAACGTGAGATCACAAGAGAGAATAATTATGCACATATTAATATTATATAAGTAATATATTATACGAATCATCGCCATATACATTATTACAAGTCCGTCTTGTTTTTCTGAAAATTTAAATAAAAGAAATGCGATATTTTTCATAGTAGTGAATTAATTGCAGTAAATGATTTTCCAACATTCACAATGCAATTCAACGCCGAACCAATCGCAAGGCACATTCTTGTATTTAATATTGAATTATCTTTAATAAGTTGAGCATAGGGATCACTGAAATGTGTACACATAATATATGTAGAAGCGATTTGTATGCATAGCCTTATTCAAAATGTTTTTTTAACTATTGTGCAGTTAATCTGACCTTCAAATGCGATTCAAGTGCATGTGGGAAAAAGAACGTTTACAATGTATTGTGTAGTCATGGCGAAAGTAACAGCATTGTATGTAAATTAGATGGGTTTTGGTGTGTTCAATCGTACGACTATTAAAACATTGTAATTGAAGGGACAAGTTTTAATGGGTTGCCATAGCAACATGGACATTCGTTATGTGGTTATATTAGAACCGGCAGAGGGTGACCGGTGAGATCACGGGGTGGGGGGGGGGGTAGTGACAATACTAATATCGTACATGTCTTAAATAAACAGCAAGTACCTCACTAGACAATTCTGACAGAAATCGCTTGAACGCTAGCATAGGTGCCCAAAGGATCGGATAATCCTATTTCGAAATCGACTTAATTTATAGCTTCACTGGATCGTTTTGTTTGGGGGCGAACTTGTCACTGTGCTATTCGGGTTGAATGCAGCTCAAAACAATCATGATGGGATACTGATCCGTCAATTCTCTCTAACTCATGTATGAGATTTACAGCAACATACATGTCAGCGGGGTAGTGTTAATTCAAATTGTGTCTCACGATGTTTAATTGGGCCGAGCATGCCAGCACAAAAGTATGTACACTATAACCTGGACATGTGCACGGCGATTTAAACATTTGATAAGGGCTGTTGTTGAAAATGTGTGAAAATCACTCCTTCCACGGGTATGTACGTAGTGTGTGTGTGTCGTCGACCTCAGGCTTCTGTGATAATTCCATTCTTTTTTCTTTTTTTTCTTTCTTAAAATACCACTTTGGGGAATATTCTAACAAATGTGCTCATGGTACGCTATCAATCGCAGAAAACACTAGCAATCGTAAAAATGGAAATTTCCCATATATGAGTTACGATGCCCCACATAAGTACATGCAATAAATTTAGTCCTAGTCCGAGACTGCTAAGGTCACGCTGACCTGAGTTCTCTAGAAGGGAACTGTTTACACGTCGATGAGCGAATTAGATTTTTTTCAAATTCACATTGTTAGTCAATTAAAAAATACTCGTATTCTGTTGGAGGCATATGCAACGTCTCTCGCACCGGGACAAACAGGTTGCCGCTTTGCACTCCCGGCTCAGTCTCTGCATTAAAGACTTGCCGTACTTTGGACACTGTCTTATGCCGTAATCTTGGTTAAAATCAGAACATTCATACATTATGTCTACAAGGCCAATATACAATATTATAGCGAATATATCATCATTTACAAAAAATCATAGGTCAATTAATAAATATACACAATTTATGTTAACATATTCAATAAATCATGTCGAATATTACATATCTATACTTGTTCACCTCTACATACAAGCAACTACTGTGCTACGGAAATTAGTGACACAGCAACCACTCGCATAAGATATTGTACACGCGGTGTCAGTTGCATGACCCGGCATCTGGTTTGCACATCACTGCCGTTGTTCATCTCGATAACTCCTAGCAGTATACCAAATATGTTGAGCTATTAAACGATCGTATAGTGTGCGTTGTTCCAGAATGTACAGCACGATGTGGCACTTGAAATCTAGAACCCCTGTTTTCTAGTTAAAAACATTCGAAAAGATACACTAAGCCGATTAATATATGCTGATACCGCAACGTTCTCGTTACCAGCCCTGGACACACCCGTCCCAGCTCACTGACCCGACAAACTTCGAGTCGGTCATGAACAGTTACGGTCACTGTGAACTTAAAAAAAAACATGATCTTGATTTCAAACTTATTTTTCAACAAATTCTGACGACAGTTGGGCCAGTCAACTTGTGGCAACAGAATTTGCAAAATCAAATACTATGGCGTGTTTATAAACAGTAATTCATCAGCTACCCTTCCCCCAGCCTAATCTGCATACAATCGTTCGTAATTCTACCTCCAGAATCATGCGACTCGCTACGGTTCACTGGATGAAAACAACATTAAAAGGAACAACACCAGCTTAAAATAGAAACGTGTTGTCCTTTTCTTCCCGATGTATTTATATTTATAAACAAATACTGCGCATGTGCAAATCGGATATACGTAGATCAACAACTCCAATTTCTTAACCTAGCGACGATGTACGTTAACTTTTTAGCGACAGAAAAAAAACGCAAAGTCACCTACTTCTTTCTAGTCTCGCGAAGGCATATTTATTACTGTGAGTAAACTACCCTCCCTCGACAAAAATAGGTCTTGTGACCAAGTATGTATAAACTACGAGCTTCGGGATCATATTCCTTTGCGAGGTTTTTCGATCCACGTCCTTGACTCGAAAGTTGTTTTTAAAATAGCTATGAATAACAGTTCAGTTATATGTGGTCCGACTCTGTAATATAATCTCTGATCTTAGTGCCCGGTAATTTGTTCGACATGACACGGACTAACGGTCACTGTCCTTACCAAGTGGAATTTGAGTGAAATAACAAACGTCAGAATAAAAAACCCAGAAAAACAATACAGCTCAAAGAAAATCTCAGAATTGGTTTTTGAGCGCATAAAATACACCATGTCTATTGCCATGTGCTTTTGTAAATTTTTAGGTACCTGGATCTGACAGCACCTTCCAAATGCTGAACAGCGGCATATGCGGGTACGATATAACCACCAGAGCCGACCAAACATCAATAGCCAAAAACAAATTTAAGCTTTAATTTTTTTGTTTTGTTTTTCACAGCCTGAATAAAACATTTAAATGTAACAAGTTATTTTATAAAATACCGGAGAGGACACTACACAACATATTCTGTCAGTGTGTGTGACTTCACGTTTTACCCAGGATGCATTTCAACACTTGAAAAACTGCTGAAACTGTACTAGGCTCATATACATACAGCGATTGTTCTTAAATGAGCAAATATGTACCCTCTAGCACGTTGAAAATAAACTTAATTCTAAAAGGAAGACGGTGCCAAAACATATCAATCATGCTCTGTATCATCTCTTCAAGTTCTGACAACTCAATAAGACATCGCTACGTCACTTTATGACATATTGACAGGCGATTATTCACCGAGATGGGCTTGAACCCAAAATCACGTCACCCGTCAATCGTAGAAACAAATCTAAGTGACTTAGGAGGTCCGAGAACCTTTGACAGTGTGTTATCGAAGCCATTGATTGGTAGGGTATAAAAGAAGAGATTTTTCTTCTCACCATCATATTGGAAGTTCTCTCCCAACATGAAGACTCTTGCAATAGTACTGTTGGGCGCTCTGCTCGCCTGTAAGTATATAACTTACTTTTTATTTTGTTCAGCTGTTCGTATATGTGTTCTATTTTTAATTTTTTTAAAACTTTTCGTTTTGTATTGCGCCTGATTTATTTTATTGTTTTGAGTTAGTCGTTGCTTAAGTTTGCTTGCATGAGTCATAAATCGGATAACAGTGCGAGTTTGCATGTATACTATATGTATTTATGCGGCGATCTATCCAGCAAGTGACCTGCGATTTTGAAAGTTTTTGTTTTTTACAAACTGGTCTTTTATCATATCCCTTCAGGAATTTGGTTTTCAAACTTTTTTGATAAACCGCATACCCCGCGTCAGAAAGTTTCTGCGCATGCGCGGTTAATTGTTTGCGCGTCAGTATGAGCATTGATTGTTTGCAAATGAGCTGGGGTGTCGCTACCTGTTTACACTTTCATCCGGGCACTTCGAAAATTTACTTGACAAACAGTTCATAACAGGAAACTTGATTCTTTATCACCGTGTCTATGCAATTATTTTAAATTTGAATGCGATTTTCAGCTCCAAGTTCAATTCAGCTAACAGAAACATATGAACACACGGCTGCACTGAATTTCGATCTTAAAAAAACAAATGAGCATCGGCGATATAATGGATAACTATCATATTACATATATTTAGTCAGCTGTGACAATTTTACTATTTTAAGCGTATTTTTATTTTTTATTCCACAGACGCAGAAATCCGTGAATCTCGTAAGTATCCATAGTCTTGTCTAACATAACCCTTAGGCGTGAACAACTTTTTGGGGTCACGTGATCGAATGCTTCCGGTCTTTGTGTGTTCATATTTAAATTGCCCAGGGTCCGATAAGATTATACACATACTCTGCAGCTTATCGGTACGATGTTGGTTCGTGGTCGGTTCTATCAGTGTCCATTGTCTTAATGCACCAGTACGAGTCAGGCACTACAATGCGAACAAATATTAACACAGATGTTCTACAATTTAGCTAGGACTGGGTTTATCTAAAATTCAAAGGGCATGTATTCTGATATGTGGCGTGACAATTTGTAATCGGTCGCCAGTTCGGGCATTGTTAGACATTGACGCTACAATGATTATCAATAATCACAATCAATTAAATTCGACTGCGGTTTAAAAAAATACTGCGTTCTAACCGATACGTCATTCAACGTTTCATATGCCGAATTTAATTGTTTTGCAGAATTCACACCAGGGCGTGAATACGTCTACGAATATGAAGGTCAGGTTCTAAGTGGACTGCCAAAATCAAGCCAGGAATTCTCTGGTCTTAGGATCAGTTGTAAGCCAAGGCTTCAATTCAAAGATGAAGACAATGTCATTGTACAGGTAAGCAGTTACATCGAGTCTCTTCATTATAGTAAACAGCGTCACACCTACACGCGTCTAATCACCGGTTGGATATATTTATGCTTATATAGAGAAAAATGTTCGAAATATTCAACTAAATATAATTAACAAATCTTTAAATTATTTTCAAATTAGATTTTAATTTTCGATTTAATTTGTATATCGATTAAATATATCTATCGTTACTGTTACTTCCAGCTCGACCATGTCAAACTGCACAGACTTCAAAGAGAGATCGAAGATCCCAGGAGACAACAACCTTTGGAAACTTCCCTGGAAGTTACCGGTGAAGAAGATGAAGTCTTCAGGAGAGAACTGACTCGCCCAATCAGGATTACATACAGAGATGGCAAAGTAAGATTTTATGATAACGTACCAAACCTTGTATATCTATGAATTATGTGTTTATGTGTTTAAATCCGATTTCTTGGATTTGTTAACCAATTTATAATTCTCTCGTAGGTGGTCGAGATTGAAACCAGCCGTGATGAACCAGAATGGTCCATCAACATTAAACGTGGTATCTTCAACTTGTTCCAACTTAACATTAATGAACGTGAATCCATTGACCAAAACAGAGACTCTAACCGTCACCCAAGCCAGGTCTTCGATAAGCAGGACGTCAAAGTTATGCGCATTCTCGAGGTATGGCCATAATTGTTTTTATAGATTAGAAAAAATTCTATT